CGTCTCAAAAACAAAAAACAAAAAACAAAGAAAACAGGTATTAAGTCATTCCTATAAAAAAAACCTCAAAAATAGCTAAAAATCAGGCAGGGTGCAGTGGCTTACCCCTGTAATCCTAGCACTTTGGGAGGACAAGGTAGGCAGATCACTTGAGGTCAGGAGCTGGAGACCAACCTGGCCATAAAGGCGAAACTGCATCTCTACTAAAAATTTAAAAATTAGCTGGGCACACGGCATGCACCTGTAATCCCAGCTATTTAGGAGGCTGAGGCAGGAGAACTGCTTGAACCCAGGAGGTGGAGGATACAGTGAGCCAAGATTGCACCACTGCATTCCAGCTTGGGCGACAAAGCGAGACTCCACCTCAAAACAAACAAACAAAAAAACTGAAAATCAGCAAAGTGGCTCAAACCTGTAATCCCAGCTGCTTGGGAGACCAAGGCGGGAAGATCACTTGGGCTCAAGAGTTTGAGACCAGCCTGGGCAACATAATGAGACTCTGTCTCTGAAAAAAAGAAATAAAACAAATAAATAACTGAAAATTATTTTGAAAGATAGCTTCACTAGAAGAAAACAAACCCCAGATGATTAGCTAAAATTTATATAAAAGGGTAATTAATGTGGAATTTTTAAGTTTTAAAAAAAGCACCTACTACTCTGAATCATGGATGGCCTTTCCCAGCCTAAAATTTACTACCATCTTTCTACCAACTACAAAATAATGTTTTATAAAAAAATTTTACTCTAAAGGAAGTAAAACTTATCTCAAATTTTTACTCATATTGGATTTCCATGCCTAAGAGAACTTACACACTAAATCTTTCCTGCTTCAGCCTTTTTCAATCTGTTTGGGACATCTGCTGAAGATGTGTAGTGAGTCTCTAAGGTCCCTTCCAGTTTTATGATTCTGCAGGGAGAGAAAGCAGACTGAAGAGAGTACCATATTGCCCATAGAAAGAAAGTAAAAAGACAGAAGACTAGTATAGTATTGAAGGGTTGAAAAGCAAAAGATAATAGTAAGTAAAGTTCCATGGAGTAACACCTGAAGCAAAAGATAACTGAAGCAGCAGCCAGAGGAGCTGAAGCAACGCATCAAAAGGGTTTATGAGTTTGTTAAGAGAATAATAATAGTTAACATTTACTGAGTTCTTATTACATGCTAGTATTATTCTGACCATTTAAATATACTATTTAATGCTCATAATTCTTTTGTACATTTATCAAAAACAGATATGACTGCTAAGTAGCAAGGAAGTTCTCAATACTGCTCCAACTTTGGCATGTATAGAAATCACATAGAGATAAATGCAGTTCTCAATCAGTAGGTCTGGGTGAGACCTGAGAAAGTGTATTTCTTTTTTCTTTTTTTTTTTTGAGACAGAGTCGCACTCTGTTGACTGGGCTGCAGTGCAGTGGCATGATCTCAGCTTACTGCAACCTCCGCCTCTCAGGTTCAAGCAATTATCTTGCCTCAGCCTCCAGAGTAGCTGGGACTACAAGTACATGCTACCATGTCTGGCTAATTTTTTGTATTTTAGTAGAGATGGGGTTTCACCATGTTGCCCAGGCTGGTTTCAAACTCCTGAGCTCAGGCAATCCACCCACCTTGGCCTCCGGGAAGTGCTAGGATTATGGCATTACAAGCGTGAGCCACCGCGCCCAGCCTGAGAAAGTACATTTCTAACAAATTCTTAGGTGATGCTCATCGAGCAACTCAGGGATGAAACTTGGAGTAGTAAAATATAACTAAAAGCAAGAACCAAAACTCAGATTATGGCAACCCGAGTCTAAAACAGGTATTACTTGAAAGGAATTTGTTAGATTTAGAAGCACTGTCATTGCCTGCCAATTTTCTTGTTCTGAACATCTAAAAGTTAGCATGCCCTAGGTACTAATGACCATAATTATATTGCCTTAGGACTCTCAAAGCCAAAAGGACACTGATTCTTCACAAATTCTCACAAAAATTTTTAAAACATTACATAGAGAGGCCAGGCGAGGCCTGTAATCCCAGCACTTTGGAAGGCCGAGGCAGGCAGATCACCTGAGGTCAGGAGTTCAAGATCAGCCTGGCCAACATGGTGAAATCCTGTCTCTACTAAAAATACAAAAAATTAGCCAGGAGTGATGGCGGGCACTTGTAATCCCAGCTACTCGAAAGGCTGAGGCAGGGGAATTGCTTTAACTTGGGAGGTGGAGGTTGCAGTGAGCCAAGATTGTGCCACTATACTCCAGCCTGGGAGACAGAACGAGATTCTGGCTCAAAAAACAACAACAATAAAAAATTACAAAGAAACACTAGGTTTATCTATGGCCATGAATTTTTCAAAAGAATCACTTCATTTACAAGAGAAATATTATCTACATCTTGGAAAATCTACAGTAACTGCCAACAGGATTAATTTTTTAGTAGATTGTTCCCTATACAGTTAAACAATAGAACAGGATGGATGTACAATAATCCCACTTACAGAGAATTTCAAATGAAAAGAGTAGGAAAATAAGTTTTAGAAGTTACGTTACATAAAGTTGAAGAGAAACAGGCCAGGTGAGGTGGCTCATGCCTGTAATCCCAGCACCTTGGGAGACTGAGGTAGGTGGATCACAAGGTCAGGAGTTCAAGACCAGTCTGGCCAAGATGGTGAAAAACCTATCTCTGCTAAAAATACAAAAATTAGTCTGTGAGGTGGCAGGCACCTGTAATCCCAGCTACTCAGGAGGCTGAGGCAGGAGAATCACTTGAACCCAGGAGGTGGAGGTTGAAGTGAGCAGAGATTGTGCCACCGCATTTAGGCCTGGGTGACAGAGATTCCATCTGGGGGGGAAAAAAAAAACCTCGAAGAGAAACAGAACTTTTCACATGTCAATTTCCACAAAAAAAAATATAGACATAAAAATATACCTATATATATTTTTATAGATATATAAATGTATATATATATTTATGCATATACAGATATATATATCTGTATATATTTTTTTTCCTGAAAAATCTATCAGAGGAACTAAAAAAGTAGAAAAAGCGGCCGGGTGCGGTGGCTCACACCTGTAATCCCAGCACTTTGGGAGGCTGAGGCAGGTGGATCACAAGGTCAAAAGATCGAGACCATCTTGGTCAACATGGTGAAACCCCATCTCTACTAAAAATACAAAAAATTAGCTGGGCATGATAGCACATGCCTGTAATCCCAGCTGCTCAGGAGGCTGAGGTAGGAGAATTGCCTGAACCCAGGAGGCAGAGGTTGCGGTGAGCCGAGATCACGCCATTGCACTCCAGCCTGGGTAACAAGAGCGAAACGTCGTCTCAAAAAAAAAAAGCAAAATTAGCCAGGTGTGGCAGTGCATGCCTGTAATCCCAGCTACTTGGGAGGCTGAGGCAGAAGAATCACTTGAACTCAGGAGGCGGAGGGTGTAGTGAAGAGATCATGCCATTGCACTCCAGCCTGGGCAACAAGAGCAAAACTTGGTCTCAAAAAATAGGAAAAAAAAAAGCTTCTTTCCACTAACCAAGACGACATGTCTAGGCAAAACCATTCAGGACACAGGTATAGGCAAGGACTTCATGACTAAAACACCAAAAGCATTGGCAACAAAAGCCAAAATAGACAAATGGGATCTAATTAAACTCCAGAGCTTCTGTACAGCAAAAGAAACAATCATTAGAGTGAACTAGCAACCAACAGAATGGGAAAAAATTTTTGCAATCTACCCATCTGACAAAGGGCTAATATCCAGAATCTACAAAGAACTAAAACAGATTTACAAGAAAAAAATCAAGCCCACTCAAAAGTGGGCAAAAGATATGAACAGACACTTTTCAAAAGAAGATGTATACGAGGCCAACAAACATGAAAACATGCTCTATCATCATTGGTCATTAGGGAAATGCAAATCAAAACCACATTGAGATACCACCTCACGCCAGTTAGAATGGCAATCATTAAAAAATCTGGAGACAACAGATGCTAGAGAGGATGTGGAGAAATAGGAACACTTTTACACTGTTGTTGGGAGTGTAAATTAGTTCAACCATTGTGGAAGACAGGGTGGCGATTCCTCAAGGACCTAGAAATGGAAATTCCATTGACCCCGCAATCCAATTACTGGGAACATATTTAAAGGATTATAAATCTTTCTATTATAAAGACACATGCACAAGTATGTTCACTGCGGCACTGTTTACAATAGCAAAGACCTGGAACCAACGCAAATGACCACTGATGATAGACTGTACAAGGAAAATGTTGCCCGTATACACCATGGAATACTATGCAGCCATGAAAAACGAGTTTGTGTCCTTTGTAAGGACACGAATAAACCTGGAAACCATCATTCTCAGCCAACTGACATAAGAACAGAAAATCAAACACCGCATGTTCTCACCATGTGTAGGTGGGTGTTGAACAAAGAGAACACATGGTTACAGGGAGGGGAACATCACACACTGAGGTCTGTTACAGGGAAGCTAGGGGAGGGACAGTGTGGGGTGGAAGGTTGGGGAGGGATAACATGGGGAGAAATGCCAGATGTAGGTGACAGGGGGATGGAGGCAGCAAACCACATTGCCATGTATCTACCTATGCAACAATCCTGCATGATTTGCACATGTACCCCAGAACCTAAGTACAATATATATATATATATATATAAATAAGAAAGAAAATGGCCTGGCACAGTGGATCACCTGAGGCCAGGAGTTCAAGATCAGCATGGCCAACATGGTGAAACCTTGTTTCTACTAAAAATACACAAAAGTAGCAGGGTGTGGTGGGACATGCCTGTAATCCCAGCCACTCAGGAGGCCGAGGCAGGAGAATTGCTTCAACCCAGGAAGTGGAGGTTGCAGTGAGCTGGGATGGCACCACTGCACTCCAGCCTGGGCAACAAGAGTGAAGCTGAGTCTCAAAAAAAAAAAAAAGAAAATGTAGAAAATTACAACTAAGACTATGATCAACAACTAGGTAGGGAAGTAAAAGGGGGCATAATTTAGAATTATATACTTTGAGCAGTTTGAACAAGTTCTCTTAGAAGGAACTGGTGAACTGGCAGATAAAATGTATTCAGTGATGCATGGTATGGAGCAGAAAAGCTGAGTAGATCCTTTCCTCTGATAAGCAGTTTCCCCCTTCTGGAGACTTTTTTTACAACCGGAACAGGAAACCTGAATAGCTGTGGTTGAAACTGAAGGAAGCATTTTATTCATGCCAGATGATGCCAGGGAAAGCTGAACATCTGCAGTCAACTGTGAAGCTATAAAAACAGAAGAGAGAGGAAAAAATATTGGTATTTACACAAAATTAAGTAGGCATTCTTTTCTTTTCTTTCTTTTTTTAGAGACAGGGTCTTGCTCTGTTGCCCTCTTTTGCACTCTAAGGGGTATAGTGCTATGATCATGGCTCGCTGTGGCCCTGACACCCTGTACTCAAGAGATCTTCCCGCCACCCTGTGCGGTGGTTCATGCCTGTAATCCCAGCACTTTGGGAGGCTGAGGCGAGTGGATCGCCTGAGGCCAGGAGATCGAAACCAGCCTGGCCAACGTGGTGAAACTTCATCATAAAAATACAAAATTAGCTGGGTGTTGTGGCACGTGCCTGTGATCCCAGCTGCTTGGGAGGCCGAGGCAAGAGAATCACTTGAACCCTGGAGGTAGAGGTTGCAATGAGCCAAGACTGTGCCACTGCATTCCAGCCTGGGCAACGGGGTGAGACACTGTCTTAAAAAAAAAAAAAAAAGAGATCCTCCTGCCTCAGCCTCTCAAGTAGCTAGAACTATAGGCATGCGTCACAGCACACACCTGGTTAATTTTTAAATTTTCTGTAGAAAATCCACTATGTTGCCCAGGCTGGTCTCAAATGCCTACCCTCAAGCAATCCTCCCACCTTGGCCTCCCAAAATGTTAGGATTACAGGTGTGAGCCACAATGCCCAGCCACTTTCATTTTCTTTCTTTCTTTTTTTGAGAGTGCAGGGGTGCAATCTCGGCTCACCACAACCTCCGTGTCCTGGGTTCAAGTGATTCTCCTGCCTTTGCCTCCCAAGTAGCTGGACTACAGGCTTATGCCACCATGCTCGGCTAATTTTTTTTTGTATCTTTAGTAGAGATGGGGTTTCACTATGTTGGCCAAGCTGGTCTCTAACTCCTGATCTTGTAATCCACCTGCCTTGGCCTCCCAAAGTGTTGGGATTACAGGCATGAGCCACCATGCCCGGCCTCTCTTTCATTTTCTTACAGGTTACTTCTCCTGGACTTGAAACCCAACAGGGAGTAATAGTCAAAGTCATTAAAAAAGAATGAATGAATTAGCTATCATACTGGTCTGAATAAACATGATTAACTTAAATAATTCTATTACCATTCTCTGAAAACACAGAGTTTATTTTCAGTTCATTCTCCTGAGTTCTGGACTGTTGGGTGTGACAAAACTCCTGAAAAGAAAAAAAAAAAAAGAATTAAAAATAATGAATACAGTTAATTTAAGACAACCAGTCATTCAACAGAAAATGATAAATTGTGGTCAGGTCTGGTCAATGAATTGTATAACTGAACTGAACCAAAATACATAGAGGTATGCACTACCATTTTGGTGCTCTTTAGCTGACAACACCAATCACCCAATACATGGTTTTCTATGGTATCCAGGTATGACTTCAGAATCTTTGTCAACAAAATCCCTTAATTCACTACCAATAGTAAGCAGACATTGAATTGCAACTATTTTCACTAACTGTTTTGCTTTTGTTTTTTTGAGACTGATCTCACTGTCACCCAGGAGTGTAGCGACGTGATCTCAGCTCACTACAACCTCCTACTTTCAGGTTCAAGTGATTCTCGTGCCTCAGCCTCCCAAGTAGCTGGGACTATAGGTGCATGCCACCATGCCTGGATAATTTTTTGAATACTTAGTAGAGACGGGGTTTCACCATGTTGCCCACGGTCTTGAACTGGCCTCAAGTGATAAGTCTGTCTTGGCCTCCCAAAGTGCTGGGATTACAGGCATGAGCCACTGTGCCTGGCCTTCCCTGCTTGTTCTAATAATTAACAGCTAATTTTCTTCATAAAGACCTTAAACCCAGAAATTGTCTATTGGGCAGAATGATTTTTACAAGAGACAATTTTTTCAGAGCAGCAGGCAATTTCATAGCCACCATATCTAAACTTGATCTATGCCTGAATGTCCATGGAATGAAGAAGCAGTAGATAGTTCCTATATGAGTAACGTTCCCCAGTAAACTCAATGGTAAGCACACCCTTATTTAATATTAATACTTCAGGCTATTTCTAAATATACTTCTACAAATAAATTATTCTTTTTAGTAATCTATTTTTTCTTTCATTAGAAATTTCAGCTGGTTGTTCATACAGAAACATTCTTTTTTCTTTTTAAGAGACCGGGTCTCACTTCGTCATCCAGGCTGGAGTGCAATGGCATGATGATAGCTCACTGCTTCCTTGAATTCCTGGTCTCAAGCAATCCTCCCACCTTAGCCTCCCAATGTAGCTGAGACTACAGTCATGCGCCACTATGCCTGGCTAATTTTTTTTTTTTTTTTTTTTTTTTTTGAGATAAAGTCTTGCTCTGTCACTCAGGCTGGAGTGCAGTGGCACAGTCTCGGCTCACTGCAACCTCTGCCTCTCAGGTTCAAACAGTTCTGTGCCTCAGCCTCCAGAGTAGCTGGCATTACAGCTGCCTGCCACCACACCTGGCTAATTTTTTATTTTTAGTAGAGATGAGGTCTCACCATTTTGGACAGGCTGGTCTTGAACTCGTGACCTTGTGATCCACCAGCCTTGGCCTCCCAAAGTGCTGGGATTACAGGCATGAGGTACCATGCCTGGCCAAATTTTGTATTTTTTTATAGAGACAGGGTCTTATCATCTGGTTGGTCTCAAACTCCTGGTTCGAGTGATCCTCCCACCTTGGCCTCCCAAAGTTCTGGGATTACAGGTGTGAACCACTGTGTCCAGCCATATATACAAACATTCTAAGGAATGTTTTCCCTACTTAAACTATATTCACAGCTCAAGTCAGTTCATCCTTCATAGGTTATTTAGTAAGTGATATGACTAAAAAAATTTTTTTAATTTACGTATAAAATTAATTCAGATTAAAAAATTATAATTTGTATTGTTTCAAGTTAAGAAAAACAGAAATAAAAATGTGTTAAGCCTTCTCTGGAAATAGACTCTACTGAAAAAAAGTGTTAACCTTAGCTAGGCTCATAAAACCCTAAACAATCCTTTTACTCACACAAAAACCCAATTCCAAACAGTCCATTCTTTCCTGAAATCATTTGCTTACATATACTTGTAATGGCACTTAACACCATATACTTTGTATTATTTAATTAACTGCTTTGGAGGAGATAAGGATCTGAGTTTTTCAATTAATAATTTCAGTTCCTTTGTAACTAAAATTTATAGTTAAATGCTGCTCTAGAAATAATGGAAATAACAGAAAGTATTTACTTGAACATTGTCGGGTTCTGCCTTAATTTCATCTAGCAGCCCCAGTTGTGATGCCTCTGCCTTGTCACATTCACCATCTAACAATGGTTCTTTCATTTCAGTATCTGATGCAAAGGAATCCTCCAGTTCCAAACTAATGGATTTCTTCCTGAAGAACAGTTTCCAGATTCCTAAAATAAAATATTGATAAAGAGTTTGATTTTAAAATTAGTCCTTCTAAATATGGTAATTTATTAGTACCACAAAAGGGTCTTTAGACAGCTTGAAATCAAGGTTCCTTCACTGTAAAAACACTGGCTTCTTTCCTGTCATCCATTTTTCAATATAGTTTTGCTCTACTCTTCTCTGGTAGCTACCTACCAACTCTGTGCTTTCTTCTGGAAATAGTCTCCATTTCTGTTCCCCCAAGCCCCTGAATGCAGTACAAAACCACCAAAACTTGCAAGTTTATTTTTAACTTTTCAATAGTAGAAAATGTAAATTTTTTGGTTGGGGTATGGTTGCTCACACCTATAATCCCAGCACTTTGTAAGGCCAAGGCAGGTGGATCGCTTGAGGTCAGGAGTTTGAGACCAGTCCGGCCAACATGGCAAAAACCCATCTTTACTAAAAATATAAAAATTAGCTGGGCATGGTGATACATGCCTGTAATCCCAGCTACTCAGGAGGCCAAGGCATGAGAATCGCTTGAACCTCGGAGATGGAGGTTGCAGTCAACAGAGTGAACTGCACTCCAGCCTGCGTGACACAGTGAGACTGTGTCTCAACAAACAAAAAGAAAGAAAATGTAAAGCTTTCTATCTGAGGTTAACTCAATCTATCCTCACGACTCCTCCCTGCCCTCCAGTTATCCTTCTCATTTGCTTCTTCAATTCCTCTTCCCCTCCTATTGATTCCAGGACACAAGCATTTAAAAACATTCTAGAATCTAAAGCTATCCGCTCTCTCTCTGACCACCCCTTTGCATCTCCCCTTTCCTCATTCTTGAAATTCCTTTGATTTTTCTTGCTCTAAGATCTCCTATTTCTCTTTTTACCTTTTTACCAGTCTTTTTCACATGTACTTATTTTACCTGCTTTTAAAATGTTTGTTCCTCAAAAGCACAATTCCTCAATACTCTTCTCGCCTGCTCTATGATCTTGAACTCCTGGCTTTTAAAAAATAACCAAGTTGGCCAGGCACAGTGGCACATGCTTGTAATAATCCCAGTACTTTGGGAGGCGGAGGCGGGTGCATCACCTGAGGTCAGAAGTTCAAAACCAGCCTGGTCAACATGCTGAAACCCTGTCTCTACTAAAAATACAAAAAATTAGCCAGGTGTGGTGGTACGAGCCTGTAATCCCAGCTACTTAGTAGGGTGTGAGAAGAGAATTGCTTGAACCTGGGAGGCTGAGGTTGCAGTGGGCCAAGATGATACCACTGCACTCCAGCCTGGGCAACAGAGCAAGACTCTGTCTCAAAAAAAAAAAAAAAAAAAAAAAAAAAAAAGAACCTGTTGGCCAGGTGCAGTAGCTCATGCCTGTAATCCCAGCACTTTGGGAGTCCCAGGTGGTAGATGACCTGCAGTCAGGAGTTTGAGACCAGCCTGGCCAACAGGGCGAAACCCCGTCTCTACTAAAAATACAAAAAAAATAAGCCAGGTGTGGTGGTGCATGCCTGTGATCCCAGCTACTCAGAAGATTGAGGCAAGAGAATCACTTGAACTCGTGAGGCGGAGGTTGCACCACTGCACTCCAGCCTGGGCAACAGAGACTGTCACAAACAAACAAAAAATCAAGTCTTTTTTTTTTTTGAGACAAGATCTCATTCTGTCACCCAGGCAGTGGTATTATATCAGTTCACTGCAGCCTCGCCATTCTGGGATCAAGCAATTCTCCCACCTTAGTCTCCTGAGTAGCTGGGACAACAGGCATGTGCCACCATGCCCACCTAATTTCTTTTTTTTGTAGAGAAGGGGTCTTACCATGTTGTCCAGGCTGATCTCGATCTCCTGGGCTCAAGTGATCCTCTCATCTCAGCCTCCCAAAGTGCTGGAATGACGGGTGTGAGCCACTGTGCCTGGCCTATGATCACAGCCTCAGATTAGACTATCACCTATGGGCTGCTATTCCCCTGCATTCCTAAACTGTGGCCCATATACCCAATTCTCTATGAAATATCTCCAATTGAATGTTGAATCCCCACAGGTCCCTCAAACTCAAAGGGTTTGAACTCTGGTCTCAAGCAATCCTCTTGCCTCAGTAAAATGATATTCTTTTATTACCCCCACAAACCTGCTTTACAGATATTCCCTTTTTTTGTAAATGGCAATGTCATATACCTTACTTCCCATGCCAGAAATCTAGGATTAACCTGGAATTCTTCTCCCTAAATCTAATCGTGAAATTAGATCAATCTACCTTTCACATAAGTCTTAAGTCTATTTTCCCATCATACATCATGCCTGCTTCACCTTACTACCCAAATCAATAGATTGCTTTTTGGTCAATAGGCAGCTAAAATCCAAACTCACAATACACAAGACTGTTTTGCATTCAGGCTTTATAAAAATTCCATTTTTCAATTTTTGAGGAACTACAAGAGGAAGGTCTCTTTTTCAAAGACAGAGTGGTTCCTTGTGTTCTTCTTTTTCCTTGACTGAGGCCTACTTTCCACTTTTCTAGTAGCTGCGTCACCTCTGATTCTAAATCCTTTGGAACTCTTTTCCTTCCTGCTACCCTAGCTTGGCTTCAGAGTGCTTTGCTTCCTGTCTCCTAGATCCCCCATTTTGATCAACCCCAAGACAAACATCTACTCTTAAAAAAGCCGGGCGCGGTGGCTTACGCCTGTAATCCCAGCACTTTTGGGGGCCGAGGCAGGCGGATCAAGAGATTGAGATCATCCTGGCCAACATGGTAAAACCCCATCCCTACTACAAAAAAATACAAAAATTAGCTGGGTGTGGTGGCACATGCCTGTAGTCCCAGCTACTCTGGAGGCTGAAGCAGGAGAATCTCTTGAACCCAGGAGGAAGCAGTGCAGTGAGCCAAGATTAAGCCAGTGCACTCCAGCCTGGCAACAGAGTGACACTCTGGCTCAAAAAAAAAAAAAAGAGGGGGAGGGCTTACAACTAATTACTATGGAGGGCAGACAATAACTAACACAAATGTGGAGAAGTTGAAGTTCTTACAGGATCACTTAGAATAATGGGATCCAAAAAAGAAAAAAAAAACAAAAAACCTCTTGCAGAAGTAATTCCAGGACTATGGTTTTATTCTGGGTGAGTACATGAAAGACCTAAATAATTCTGCCAGTATTTTTTATTTTGGGGACTGGGGCTCAACCACTTTCCCTCATTTCTTTTCTTTTCTTTTTTTTTTTTTTGAGATGAAGTTTCGCTCTTGTTACAGAGGCTGGAGTGCAATGGGGTGATCTCGGCTCACCGCAACCTCCGCCTCCTGGGTTCAACCAATTGTCCTGTCTCAGCCTCCTGAGTAGCTGGGATTACAGGCACGCGCCACCACGCCCAGCTAATTTTTTGTATTTTTAGTAGAGACGGGGTTTCACCATGTTGACCAGGATGGTCTCGATCTCTTGACCTCGTGATCCACCTGCCTCGGCCTCCCAAAGTGCTGGGATTACAGGCTTGAGTCACTGCGCCTGGCCCTTTCCCTCATTTCTACCTTTAATTCAGCTTTTGTTGAAAGTTCCTGTCCCCAGCCAGGCGCAGTAGCTCATGCCTGTAATCCCAGCACTTTGGGAGGCCGAGGCAGGTGGATCACGACGTCAAGAGATCGAGACCTGGTGAAACCCCGTCTCTACTAAAAACACACACACAAAAATTAGCTGGGCATGGTGGCGCGTGCCTGTAATCCCAGCTACTCAGGAGGCTGAGGCAGGAGAACTGCCTGAACCCAGGAGGTGGAGGTTGCGGTGAGCCGAGATCGCACCATTGCACTCCAGCCTGGGTAACAAGAGCGAAACTCCGTCTCAAAAAAAAAAAAAAAAAAAAAAAAAAAAAAAAATGCAGGAAGTTAAACAAGGCCTGAGTGCAAGTGCGATAAATAGTTCCTACAACCTCTGTCCAGCCCATTTGAGCGTTATATACAAGCAAAGCAAAAATCACTAAAAATTAACTATCTGTCATTAGGTAGATTCCCTTCACCTAAAAGTAAATATGCCATGCAAGTCTAAACATCAATTAAATACAAAGCACTGAGGGCTGGGCACAGTGGCTCACACCTGTAATCCCAGCATGTGGGAGGCTGAGGTGGAAGAGACTAGCCTGGCCAAATGGTGAAACCCCATCTCTACTAAAGATACAAAAAATTAGCTGGGTGTGGTGGTGGGTGCCTATAATCTCAGCTACTCAGGAGGATGAGGCAGGAGAATTGCTTGAACCCAGGAGGCGGAGGCTGCAGTGAGCCAAGATTGTGCCATTGCACTCCAGCCTGGGTGACAAGGCAAGACTCTGTCTCAAAACAAACAAACAAACATGAAAACAAACAAACAAAAGACCAAAGCGTTGAGTTTTGTGCAGTGGCATTATCACAGCCAATGAGGTTTACATGCAGTACAATTATTGCTATTTGGATAAAACAAAATAAAATAAAACAAAGCACCTATAAGCTTTGGCATCTTGCAACCCCTTCAAATGTGTCATCACACAAACAGAAAAAGAACGGAGGCTGGGTGTGGTGGCTCATGCCTGTAATCCCAGCACTTTTGGGAGGCTGAGATGGGTGGATCATGAGGTCAGGAGCTCGAGACCAGCCTAGCCAACATGTTGAAATCCCATCTTTACTAAAAATACAAAAATTAACTGGGGGCAGTAACTGTACCCCCCAAAAAAAAAAAAAAACAAGCCAGTAATCCCAGCTATTCGGGAGGCCAAAGCAGGAGAACCACTTGAACCCAGGAGGCAGAGGTTGCAGTGAGCCAACATCGCATCACTGCACTCCAGCCTGGGCTACAGAATGAGACTGTCACCAAAACAAAACTAAACAAAAAACAGATACATCCAGGCATAACAGAGTATCCTTTGGCGTACTGTATCCTTTCACTGGAATCAATTACAAAATTTAACAGGCTTTCCTGGTAAGGGCACTTTCCAGGACAGAGTAGTAGAAACCCAAGCAGAAAACAGCAGGAGACAGAGTTAGAAATACTGGGTTCTCAAGTAGCTGGAACTCAAGAGGCACAATCTGGGAGAGGAGGGAACCACAGAGGAATAATATGCATACAAATCTCCCCTCCTCCAAGTCATTGGCTGACTCCTAAACTGCACATTTACAGAGTGAGACTTCAAAAACTTAACAGAAAACAGCAGTTAAAGGTCAAAGAGCTGATAAGAGATTATAGCAGCTATGCAAAGTTGAGAGTTGAAATTTAAGACTAGCAAGATATGGGGGTTTTGGTAAAGACCTAGATTTCCAGTTGAAACTCAAGGAGGGCCTTGCCCTAGGAGTAATGGCTATGCCCCAGGAGAAAAAGAGACCACTTCCAAGAAGAAAGGACAAACTAAAATAGACCAGCCCTAACAAGGCCTATAATCAACCCTCAACAGGATCAATGTCATTTGCTACTACTATCCACCTGCCTAATGGCAACCTTACCCTGCTCTGAAGGAAGTACATCCAGATGCTAATAATGTTCATCCAAAATGTCCAGAATCCAGTAATAATTTATGGACCAAAAGTAATTTTTAAAATGCCAAAACTGATTGGAAAAAAAATGGCAATAGAACCAAACCACAGGTGGCTCAGATATTGTTCTTGTCAGGCAAGGACTTAGTTATATTTCAGATAACAGCAGAGAAGATGGAGAAGTTCTGTAGTGACCTGGAATCCATTAAAAAAAAAAAAAAGAGTTAAATGGAAAATCTAGAATTGCAAAACACAGTGAGGAAATTAAGACTTCAATAGATGAGTATCAAATTAGTGAAGAACACAGGCTAGAAGGTACTCTTATGCACAGAGATAAAAGGATGGAAAATAGAAATAATGTGCCATGTGGGATTCCTATTCAGTTCTAGAGTAAGAATCTAAAATAAGGTGTCATGTGGGATCTTTTATTCAGTTCTAGAATGAGAGAAAATAGACATTGCAAAAGAAGCAGTATTTGAAAGAAAATACCAGGCAAGGTGACTCACACCTATAATCCCAGGGCTTTGGGAGGCTAAGGCAGGAGGATCACTTGAGCCCAGGCGAGTAAGGCTATAATAAGTCGTGATCATGCCACTGCACTCCTACCTGGGGGGACACAGTGAGACCCTATCTCAAAAAAGAAAAAAGAAAAAAGAAACAGTGAAAGCCAGAGCCAATGTAGTATCTTTAAAGTGCTGGGGAAAACTCTCCATAAAATTCTGTATTCAGTAAAGATATCCTTCAAGATTAAGACCAAAATAAAGACATTTTCAGATAAATGAAGACACTGTAGAAATGCTAAAGGAAACTCTTTAAGCTAAAGTAAAATGGTAGATGGGAATTTAGCATAAAAGTTGGAAAGGAGGCTAGGCATCGTAGCTTACACCTGTAATCCCAGCACTTTGGAAGTCTGAGGCAGGCAGATCACTTGAGGTCAGGAGTTTGAGACCAGCCTGGCCAACATGGTAAAACCCCATCTCTACTAAGAAATACAAAACCTAGCTGGGCATGGTGGCGCATACCTGTAATCCCAGCTACTTGGGAGGCTGAGGCAGGAGAACTGCATGAATCCAGGAGATGGAGGGTGCAGTGGGTCGAGATTACACCACTGCACTCCAGCCTGGGTGACAATGCAAGACTCCGTTTAAAAAAAAAAAAGTTGGAAAGGAAGAAGAAAACTGTTGGGTTTTTTTTTTTTGTAGACAACATGACTGCATATAGAAAACTCTTAAGGAATGTCCCTCACCCCGCCCCTGCAGAAGAAACTACTAGAATAACTGAATTCCGCAGAATCATAGAATACAAGATTCACATTTTAGAATTTCCTAACACTTATCTTCAACACTGTAGAAGTTCTAGTCAGATAAATAAAGCAAGAAAAAATAAGACATAAACTTTGAAAAGAAATGGTTATTTATAGATAACATGATTGTGCACATAAAAAATTCAAAAGAATCTCCAAATTACTAAGCTTAGCAAGACATTCAAAAATCAATTCTGGCCAGGTGCAGTGGCTCACACCTTTAATCCTAGCACTCTGGGAGGCTGAGGTGGGTGTATTACCTAAGGTCAGGAGTTTGAGACCAGCCTGACTAACATGGTGAAATCCATCTCTACTAAAAATAAAAAAAAATTAGCCGGACATGGTGTCGGGTGCCTGTAATTCCAGCTATTCTGGAGGCTGGCTGAGGCAGGAGAATCACTTGAACCTGGGAGGCGGAGGTTGCAGTGAGCCCAGATCGCACCACTGCACTCCAGCCTTGGCGACAGAGAGAGACTCTGTCTCAAAAAAAAAAAAAGATTTATTCAACTGAGTTCTGCAAGCTCATTTATTAGCCTGATAAGAAGGCTGGAGGCAGAAGGCTATATGCTTTTCAAACCAAACTATAATGTCCATGGTCAATTCTACAGGCAATGAGGAGCCATCGTTTACAAGCGCCTTGGAACCGGGGTTATAGAGATGAGTAAGATTTCCCACCCAGTAAGTATATACAAGGTATAGAGCCAAAATGAGAAAAGAGAAGACGGTCAGTCTTCTGGGAGGTGAAATTTGAGCTGGGTTTTAAAGTGTCTACCAACCAATAATGGGGGATATTCCTGGTATAGAGACAGCATGTACAAAAGCACAAATAGCGGGGCATGGTCGCTCACGCCTGTAATCCCAGCACTCTTCGAGAGGCCGAAGCGGGTGGATTGCTTCAGTTTAGGAGTTCGAGACCAGCCTAGGCAACATGGAGATTACCTGTCTCTACAAAAAAACACAAAAATTAGCTGGGCATAGCGGTGAGCACCGGCGAGGAGGGCGAGACCCTGTCTCCAAAAAAAAAAAAAAAAAAAAGAACAACAAATACACAGGAACTAGAAGGAATGGGACTATGGGGACTATGGGACTATTGTTAAAGAGTGCTAATAGAAGGAACTGGAAAGCTGGAAAAGAGGCTGGAAAAGTAGACTTGGGTCATGTCAAGAAGGTCCCTGACACTAAATACCTTAAAATTAATCTTGTGAATCATCACCGTCCAAACTGTGCTTTTGGGGTTCAGCAACCATTTCATTCTTGTTTGTTTGAGACGGGGTCTCGCTCTGTCTCCCAGGCTGGAATGCAGTGGCGCGATCTAGGCTAAATGCAACCTCTGCCTCCCGGGTTCCAGCGATTCTCCGGCCTCAGCCTACCGAGTAGCTGGGATTACAGGCGTGAGCCACTGCACCTGGCCAGGAGTCAAACTTTTGAAAAAGCACTGCTCAATGAAGGAGAGCTACAGGTGTGATGAGGACTTTCGAAACGGAGGCTGCGGAGGGAGACCCAAAGTCTGAAAGCCCAGTTACGACGCGGAAGCAGGAGGCGGCAAGAATCGCTGGAAGTGGGGAGCAGTAACCCCCTAATCTCTGCGGGCACAGTTAAAGGTGGCGACAAACACAATCCAGGTCTGGGCCTGGCCCGCAGTTCCCGAACCCATCTGGCGGAATCTGCACTCAAGGCTCCGTCTCTAACACCCCGACCCGGCGCGTCATTCCCCCCTCCGACCGACAGCAGAAACCCTGTCCCTTTCGAATAAGCCGCAGGAGTAAAGACCGAAACCAGAGTCCCACGAGGACGCTTACTAATTTCTTCCAGAGACACCCGCCGCCTAAGGCTTCTGAAACAATCCTCGAAGCAAAACGGCCCCGCCGGCCCCGCCCCTCTCCCGTCGTGCTCTGCGGCTGAGCATGCGCAGGGATGCCGGCCCAGCATGGTCCCAAGTGCCTGCGTTAGGAAGGGCGACCTTGGGATAGAAAGTGTGGAAGAGGGGGAGGGGACGAATCCTTCTGTCCGCTTGGGATCTTACCCTTGAGGTCATCGCTGGCTGGCAGCCAATGTGGGACCCTTGCCTCAGAGCTCAAGCAGGGCAGTTACATTTCCTGGATTTGAGAGATGGCTCTACCACTCATTAGCTGTGTGTTAGTAAGCGATTTGACAACTTCTATAAATCTCAATTTATAGAAGTTGGGGATAATTGTAGTGGCTGCATCATAGGTTTGTAAAGATTAGGCAGGCTTCTGCAGAAGCTGGACTCAAGAAAAAAAAAATTAGGCAGGCAATGTTAGTAAAGTGCCAGGTACAGAGTAAATTCCCAGTAAAATGAAATTATCCTTAGAGGTAAGGAGTTCAGATTTCTTTCATTAGAGGAAGTATGTACATTAAAATTAAAATGACCCTTGGCCAGGCGCAGTGGCTCACGCCTGTAATCCCAGCACTTTGGGAGGCCGAGACGGGAGGATTGCTTGAGGTCAGGAGTTCAAGACCATCCTGACCAACATGGTAAAACCCTGTCTCCACTAAAAATACAAAAATTAGCCGGACATGGTGGCGGGGGCCTGTAATCTCAGCCACTCGGAAGGCTGAAGCAGAAGAATCACTTGAAGCCAGGAGGCGGAGGTTGCAGTGAGCCGAGATAGCACCACTGCATTCCAGCCTGGGTGACAGAGAGGGACTCTGTCTCAAAAAATAATAATAAAATAAAACCCAAACTGCATGTCAAAAAAAGGTACATTTTGAATGTTTTTAACAAAACTTTCGCCACTTAAAAAAGTATAGGAGCAACTAATTGTGCTATTCCTAAAGGCATAAGAGGATTCTAAAAATATATATAAGGTGAACTTGAATGGTGAACTTATAATCATATTTGACAATTACTTTTAAAGGAGATATTCTCAAAGATCCAAATTTGAGTCCCTTGTGAAGGTAAGGCCCAGAGAAAAAGGGTCTCTTGATCCTTGCTGCTATGGTCCTTAAATATCCTTTGGAATTAGCCTCAAATCTAATACAAACCCTTTGGTAATTTGAAATATTATACAAGTAACTGAAGTTAATTTCTCCAACACTTATTATAACTTCTAATAATCTATTTAGACTGTTAGGATTAGAAAGGACCTCACTAAAATGATCTCTCGTCTAATGTTCCCTTATTACCGAAGGAAAAGCTGAGGACAAGGGGATAAAGGTAATTTGCCCCAAGTTACACAGCAACTCAGTGACTGGGATTAGATCAGAACCCAGAAATGAGTCCTGGTTCAGTGGGCTTGCAAAGGCAAGTAATGTCATTGTAACTGCCCAGTGGGTTCACCTTGCTCGCCACCTAAACAGAGCCCATTTATCAAGACAGGGGAATTGTAATAAAGAAAGAGTAATTCACGCTGAGCCAGCTGTGCAGGATACTGGAGTTTTATTATTATTCAAATCAGTCTCCTTGAGGATTTGGGAATCAGAGTTAAGGACAACTGGTGGGTGGGGGGAAGCCAGTGAGCCAGGAGTGCTGATTGGTTAGGTAGGAGATGAAATAATGGGAAGTTGAAGCTGTCCTCTTGCTCTGAGTTAGTTTCCTGGTGGGGGCTGTAAGATCAGGTGAGCCAATTTATCGATCTGGGTGGTACCAGCTAATCCATTAAGAGGAGTCTGCAAAATATCTCAAGCACTGATCTTACTAGCGGTTTAGGGAGGGTCAGAATCTTAGCCTCCAGCTGCATGACTCCTAAACCATTATTTCTAATCTTGTGGCTAATGTGTTAATCCTATTAAGGCAGTCTAGTCCTCAGGTTAGAAGGAGGTTTGTTTTGGGAAAGGGCTGTTATCGTCTTTGTTTTAAACTATAAACTAAATTCCTCCCAAAGTTAGTTCAGCCTATGCCCAGGAAGGAACAAGGACAGCTTGAAGGTTAGAAGCAAGATGGAGTCGATTAGGTTAGATCTCTTTCATGGTCTCCGTCATAATTTTGCAAAGGTGGTTTCATCATCATTACTAACTTCCTTGGGCATTGAAAAAATGGTAAGATTCATGATATCACAACAAATTATAAGGATATGTGATAATTTTTAGATGTGACATTCCAACCACCCCCACTGATCTGAAAATTTAGCCCAATATTTCAAGCAGTAGATGTAGGTCACAAGTTGCATGTGTCTTTATTGCTCTGAAGTCTCAATAGTTTATACTGGCGGAAAGATTAAGTCCTAAGGAATAGGAGGAGAGCTCTGGGAGGTAGGAAGCTTGATTCTTCTTTTTTCTTTTTTTTTTTTTAAGACGGGGTTTCACCATGTCGGTCAGGCTGGTCTTGAACTCCCGACCTCAGCCTCCAAAGTGCTTGGATTACAGGCGTGAGCCACCACGCCCAGCCGATTCTTCTTTTTTCTTTTCTTTTCTTTTTTTTTGAGATGGAGTTTCTCTTTTATCACCCAGGCTTGAGTGCAATGGCATGATCTTGGTGACTCACACTGCAACATCCGCCTCCTGGATACAAGTGATTCTTCTGCCTCAGCTTCCTGAGTAGTTGGGACTACCACCATGCGCCACCACACCCGGTTAATTTTGTATTTTTAGTAGAGATGGGGTTTCGCCATGTTAGCCAGGCTGGTTTTGAACTCCTGACTTCAAGTGATCCATCCACCTTAGCCTTCCAAAGTGCTGGGATTACAGGTGTGAGCCACAATGCCTGGCTTATTCATTTTATATATAGGATATATATCATATATCTCAGAAAAAGATTTTTCATATCTCTTTATTTTTTCAATTAAGATATTTTTTTTTCTGTGTAACATACAGAAAACTACCCTTGATTATATGATAATGATGCCTTAACTAATAAGCTGGAGCCTAAAGGCATTTCCTCAACCTCAAATGTAGCACCTGAAAGAAGTTGTTAATATTGTTACACCGGGAGCCTGTAGGAGCCAAGACTGGAACAGTGAATGGAATCATTAGATTGGTTTAAGAGTGGGGAGTGTTTGGGACAGCAGTGCATGGAAGATCACATGCTCCACTGAAAGGGATACTTACTACTCAGCTCTTCAGAAATGCAGGGCACACTGTTGCCCAAACTTCCAATTTTCAAAAGAAATTAGAAGTCTGGGCCAGGCGCAGTGGCTCAAGCCTGTAATCCCAGCACTTTGGGAGGCCGAGGCGGGTGGATCACGAGGTCAAGAGATCGAGACCATCCTGGTCAACATGGTGAAACCTCGTCTCTACTAAAAATACAAAAAATTAGCTGGGCATGGTGATGCATGCCTGTAATCCCAGCTGCTCAGGAGGCTAAGGCAGGAGAATTGCCTGAACCCAGGAGGCGGAGATTGCAGTGAGCCGAGATCGCGCCATTGCACTCCAGCCTGGGTAACAAGAGCGAAACTCCGTCTCAAAAAAAAAAAAAAAAAAAAAAAAGAAAGAAAAAATTAGAAATCTGTATTTTCATGTGAAATTGCCTGATTAAAAAAAAAAAGTTAGAAACAAATTAAACATTTTAGAATGTCTGGTAGTTAAAAAGTAACAACTCTGTGGGCTAAATCTAGTCCACAGACTGCCTATTTGCAACCTTTGTGTTAGATGGTTGCTGGTCAAAAGCCCAGAAGTTAGCAATCTATCACTAAATTATGAAGGCTGTCCGTCCTTCAGTTTAGCCCCTAGAGAACTCCCAAGGGAAGAGAAACAGGTTCTATTAAGTAAAAATCGAAAACTGCCAGAACTAAACTTTCCAGAAACTTTACCCCCGTTTTCTTGGTGGGACTAGAAAGAAAGAGGATCCAAGTATCAGAAATGTGTGAACCAAAGCAACTCCATCTTGAATAGAAACTAGGTAAAATTAGGCTGAAACCTACTGGGCTGCATTCCCAGATGGTTAAAGCGTTTTAAACCACAGGATGAAATAGGAGGTCAGCACAAAATACAGGTCATAAAGGCCTTGCTGTTAAAACAGTTTGCTGTAAAGAAGCCAACTAAGGCCGGGTGCGGTGGCTCATGCCTATAATCTCAGCACTTTGGGAGGGCGAGGCGGGTGGATCACGAGGTCAAGAGATCGAGACCATCCTGGTCAAGAAGGTGAAACCCCGTCTCTACTAAAAATATAAAAATTAGCTGGGCATGGTGGTGTGCACCTGTAGTCCCAGCTACTCGGGAGGCTGAGGCAGGAGAATTGCTTGAACCCAGGAGGCGGAGGTTGCGGTGAGCCAAGATGGTGCCATTGCACTCCAATCTGGGTAACAAGAGCGAAACTCTGTCTCCAAAAAAAAAAAAAAAAAGAAGCCAACTAAAACCCACCAAAACCAAGATGGTGACCAAAGTGTCCTCTCTTTGTCCTCACTGCTACACTACCACCAACACCATGACAGTTTATATAGATGGTCAGAAAGTATATGGTCTACAAAGGGGAGGCATGAATAATCCACCCCTTGTTTAGGATATAATTGTAAGAGTTAACAAAAGAGGAAATAAACAGGAAAAGTGGCCCAACAGTCAAAGACAGGTTTATTTTGGAGATAAGCCTGAGAAGAGCTTCTGGCCAATTTTGGTCAAGATCATTCTCTCTTACAAACTAAGGGTATTTAATGGTTTGGGGTGGGAGAGCCTATTGCAGGCTCAGAATATTTCTGTGTGAGGGAGAGATTTATTGCAGAGTTGGAATGTCTCTGGTCAGAGGGAAGGTTTTCTCAGGGTTGGCGTGTTCCTGGTTGGAGTGGGGGTTTATCTCAGGGTTGGAAAGGTTCTGGTGATGCTGACATTAGCCACTAGGCTGATGTTTTTGAGCTAGGTTTAGGTGGTTTTTTAATCAAGGAG